AAGCTATATGAAGACCCAAATTCAATCCCCAGCTTTGAGAATATCTCCCTATGTCTACATACCTTCACACACACACACACACACACACACACACACACACACACTGTCTTGGCATGCAAAGGTCTAGAGTACAGTAGGAATGGATAAATCTTTAAAAATAACAAAAGTGTTATAATCTGAACACGTGCCTCTCCACTTCAAGCATAGATGGAAATCTCATGGTTTCTGTGAGGCACTGGAAAATGGGATTTTTGGAGAGGGCTCTGTCGCATCAATAAGATTAGTGCCCTCATAAAACTGATGCCACAGAAATAGTGTTTTCCACCATGATACCACAAAACAAGTTACAAAACAGGTGAGGTGCCCTCTATGAGGCAGGGAGAGGGACTTCACACTTGATCATGGATTTCACAGCTTCAGAAATGTTAAGAAATTTCTGATGTATAAGCTATCCAGCTTATAATATTTTTGTTATAGTAGCCTTACTAAGTTAAGAGTAGGAAATGGGATGAATAATCTGCAAGTACAGCAGATTTTTAGTTTAAAACTTTGCAGGGATTAAATGCTAAAAAAATGAGAATCATATTGATAATTATTTTCTCCATTCTCTTATTTGTGGTATGCACTATTGTTTGTAGTGGGTAGCTATTCCAGTTTGGATCTGGAAGTTCCAACCCCCATTGAGACTCTGTCAACTATCACGCCTACGAGGCGGGGCCAGGAGAGGTGCCTGGAGACTGGAGAGCTGGATGGGCCAGCGCTCTCTCTGTGCGCTCTCTGTGCCAGGATGCTGAACAGTGAAGGTGGACTGTGCAGAGCTCTGGAGAACACCACTGGACTGCAATACACCTTTCCCAGACCCTGCGACCTAGCTTTCACTTAATTTGTGAGTTACTCTATTAAATAAATATCCTTTTAACTACGTGGAGTGGCCAAAATAATTTCTCCAATAATTGTTGTTATTTCTTAATATAGTTTGTGTGGTGATTTGAATAGGTATGGACCCCAGAGACTCTTGTGCTTGAATGCTTAGGCCACAGGGAGTGGCACTTTAGGAGGTGTGGCCTTGTTGGAGTAGGTGTGGCTTTGTTAGAGGAAGTGTAACACTGTGGGGGTGGCATTTAAGGCCTCAGATGCTCAAGCTATGCCCAGTGTGGTACTATCTCCTTCTGCTGACTGCAGGATCAAGATGTAGAACTCTCAGCTCCTTTTCCAGTACCATGTCTGCCTACATAATTTAAAATTCACATGGAAAGACAATATATCCTGAATAACCAAAGCAAAAAAAACCGGATGGATGGATTTCAATACTGGATCTCAAAGTACATTACATAGAGGCAAAGACAGCAGAAAATGTAAGCAAATGAAATAAAAAAGAGCACCAAAATAAATCCACTCAACTACCATTCATTAAAATTTGATGAAAATCTTTAAAACTTACAATGGAAAAGGGACATCTTCTACAATAAGTGGTGGTATGATGTTGAGGAAACTGTATATCCATGTGCAGCATTAAACTAGAGTCATGTCTTGTTCACTACACAAAAAAGTCAGCTTAAAATTTGTCAAAGATCTTAATTTAATACCTGAAACATTGAAACTACTATGGAAAAAATACAGGGGAATAATTTCAATATATGGGCTTAACAAGACTTATTTTTTTTATAAACGACTCCAATAGCAAAGGGAATAATCCCAATAGCATGACAAATTTGTTATGTGAAGTTTAAAAGTTTCTGCATAGTAAAGAAAACAACCAGCAATGAAAACAGACACTCTGCAGAATGGAAGGAGACACAATGTTTGCCAAGGGAATGATCACTGCAATACAGAAAGAAATGAAAAAAAAAAAACCATCAAACACTCCAAATTCAAATCTTCCACTCAATACATGAGTTATTCAATTGAAGCTCTCAGAAGACAAAACATATTTTTAAAGTGTTCACCATCCTTAGATTTCAGAAAAATGCAATTTAAAACTATTTTATGATCTCATTTCACCTGGTCAGAATGGCTATCAATAAAAAGACAAATGAGACTGAGCATAGCAGTGCATGCCTTAAATCCCAGCACCCAGGAGTCAGAGGCAGGAGGATCTCTGTGAGTTTGAGGTCAGCCTGATCTACATAGTGAGTCCCAGGACAGCCAGGGTATACAGTGCAAGACCTTGTCTTGAAATATCAATCAATCAATCAATCAATCAAACAAACAAACAAACACAAAAAACAAACAAAACAACACAAACACATAAAACAAATGATAATAAATGCTGGAGAAGACTGAGGAAATGTAAATTAGTGTAGCCACCATAGAAATTGGTATGGAGATGTCTTAATCTGAAAATAGAACTATCAAATGACCCACTTATGCTGCTTCCTGGATATATACCCAAAGGTCTCAATTTCAATTTAATACAGAAAAAAAAGAAAGAAAAACTTTTGCATGTTTCATTGATAAACAACTTGTAATTTATGAAATGGAACTAGCCTAGACTATCATCAATGAATGAGTAAAAAAATATGTGGCACATATATACAATGACATTAAGTCTTAAGGAAAAATTAAATTATGGCATTTAGAGGAAAATAATCCAGACTCAAAACTAAACCAAGCCAAACCAACCAAATAATGTGAGTCTTCCCTCTCTGTATATTCTAGATTTGATGTGTGTTTCTAGGTCATGAATTTGAGTGGGGTGATAAGAGGGGAAGAAATCTGTAGGGAGCAGTGAAGGGAAGGAAAAAAATAAAAAGAATATAATGAACACATTGACACACTCAGAAAGAAGCTACCGAAGGAGGGAGGACGGAAAAGATTCGTTAAGAGATGGGTGGGGAGAGGGACAAGGATGACTAAAAAACAGTCTGAATGAAGATGCCGTGATTAAACCAGTGTTTGCTATGAAAATTTAAAAAATAATAAAAACATAAATTACATTTCCAGGAGTGGGGTTGCATGCCTCAGAACTCGAGAGGCAGAGGCAGGCAGATCTCCCTGAGTTCAATGAGCCAACCTGGTTCTACGTAGCAGAACACTAATCAGCATGTCCTCTCGGATACTCCTGAAACCTCAATTTCACCAGAATCAGAAAGTGCGTATGTGTCTGTATTTCTATTTGTTTATAAATTTAAACACATATTTATACACCTGCCAACTGTATATACACTCACATATATTTAGCAGCTTTAGCAATTAGCCACAATATAAATACATTATGCTTGGAATACGCAATGTGTAAAAGAGCTGATTGGCTCTGAGTGAAGTGCTCGTGGTGGCAAAAATCTGGGGATTTGAGATTGGATCCTGAGCACCTATATAAACATCGGGTGTGCATCGGTGACATCAGTGCCAGGTTGTCAGAAACAGGCTGACTCCTAGTCAGCCACTCTGGCTAACTGATGACTTTCATGTTATCCAGAAAGTGATAACATGTGAGAGAAGCTGTCTAAAAATTAAGGTGGAGAGTAACTGAAGAAGACACCCAAATTCAGCCTCTGGTTTCCACATGCATGCTCACACATGTGTCTGCTTGTGTGTACATATGCACACGTGTGTATACATCATCCACACATACATATAAATAAATAAAACAGTTTTTGTAATAATGGAGCTTGTAAAGGATGCAATGAACAGCACATGTATATACATGTGCATGTGTGTGTTTGTATGATAGAATAGTATTTTATATTTCATATAGGTAATGTTACATGTATCATAATTGTCAAAATCAGGCAAAACTCTATAATTTTTATGATGAAAAACTTAAAATGTTTGTTATTTTTAAAAAGTATTATCAGAGTCTCTTCAATTTTAGTTTTGTAGGAGCAAGCCTAATTTAGACATGGAGTATGTATTTACTGACAGGGATTATGTTGCCTGAACATGAGCTGATTCTCCCGGAAGCATTTATTAAGAGAGTTACTGGTTGCTTGTGCTTGGCAAATTCTCAGACTCATAATCAGATTCTTCAGAAGTAGGAATCTATGTAAAGAGACTCTTGAGCAACACACCGAATTCCTGGCTGCACCTGGAAAGAGTGTTGGTGTTTGGCTTCAAGAGTGGACAGGACATGGATTCTGAGTGGAAGTTCTGACAACCAGCACCCTGCTCTATCATTGCACCTTGTACCTTCATATTTAGACCAAAAGAGCTGAATGTTGATGATGTCTATTGGTATCTTTTTGAATCACATTCCTGTCACCATAGAAACAACAGTACAATGCTTATCATCTGCTATTATAGGATCAAATTTTATAATCTTGTGCTGATTTTTTACTATTTTCTCAAAGTAAACAGTACCAGTTATATGGCTCAGTTTTTAAATCAATTCTTAAATTTATTAATTTAATTATTTTAAGAGCAAATATTAACCCCATAGTATCTACAGTTTTTCTAAGAAATACATCCATAATTTCAATAGAACAGTTTAAGAATTACCTTATTTAGTTCATAATTAAACACTTATCTGTTGGATTATTTAGAAGAATTCAGCACCTGAGATTCTCACGACTTCTATTACTAGACAATTATGCAACGTACTGTAACAACTTTATACATGCAAAAGTAGCATTTCAGTAGTCAGATATTCACATTTAAGCAAAGGGATTCTTTAAATAGATGGATGGTTTGGGCCACAGTCATGCAATTATTTAAAAATGGAATGAACTATGGAAATTAGAGCTTAGTAACCCAATCAGCAGTTCCTTTCATCTCCACCTGCTTTGTTTGTTCTCAGATGGCTTATAACCATGACAGTTTGTTGATTCTCTAGCCTTAAACACCATCATAATCACAATGTGTACATAAAGACAATTGTATATGTACTAACAGCTAAATAATAACCAGACAAATGGCAGTTGCCATTTATACTGGACAGCAATTGGGCTGCTTTTTACATTTGACACTGATGCAGTGCCAATAATCACTTCTTTTACACAGATGGAAGTGCTATCTTCTTCTTTATCCCCACAGAGAAACCAAAGGAAAGGGAATTTACTCACATTGCACGATGAGCTGGACCAAGGCTTCTCTTGGCTTCACATTGAATCCATTGTACTGGCTAGTTTGACACCTGTACATCCCTGACATTTCCCTTGACACGTTCACAATCCTCAGTGTCCCATCATAACTCTCCATTTGCATTGTCCCATCAGGCATTGCGACTTCTTTATCCGCTCTAGACCAGAGGATGATTGGTTTAGGTTTCCCAGTTACTTGACACTGAAGTTCTATTGTGTCTCCTTCTCTGGTGACCAAAGGTGATTTTTCCTGTGGAACAGTCAGATTGGGTGGAACTTGAAATGGGAAAAAGAAAATTTTTCAAGGTTAGTATAAACTGGTAAGACATATTCAGTCACAGAATATCATAAGGAAACAATTTCTGCTGGTTGAAGGAATTTTGAACAATGCAGATGACATAAAATACAGGAACCAGAGAAATAAGGGGAAGATGCTGTCACTTAAAATAACCCTACAACTTTCATTTTACATTCTCAAATAAAGACTATATGCATCTTCACACTAAGAAAGATACTGCATCTGAAGGCAAGTAGTCAACATTAGAAAACTATACTCAATGCCTTGTCTTATTAGCCAGTAACTGGGTCCTCAGTCTGCTTTAAACAGAACAAGCAAACTCATGCAACTGTTGCCATTACATATAAACACAACTCTCTTCTAACAGCTAAGTCACTACCAATTATCCAGAAAACTGAAAATCTGAATAATAATCATGAGGCAGAAATATTTCATCTTAATCCAGTTTTCAAATGATTTCATTTTACTCATATGAGTATGTTACAACAATATAACACATGGAAGAAGCAGGAAAAAGAACCTGAAATATAAAGTTAGAAGTTTCAAAAATGGTGCTGAGATTTCTGGTCTATTTTCTCTCTGGTGAGAATTTAATAGAGCAGCTGACTAATGTCATTCTCATATAATTCATTATATTCTCCAACTTTTATTGTTTAGAAATTTAAATTTCATAAGATTTTAAATTATCGTATTTTGAAGCAACATGGATTCTTGGCAAGATATTTCTACTAGTTCTATAAAATTATTCTTAAGAAAAATATTCAAAGCATCTTTCAGTGTCTACAAGCAGTATAATTTCCTCAAGGAAATTTAATTTTTTATTTTATAGAGCTTACTTAGTATGACATATGAATGCTTTGGTTGGAGCTTAGTTTACTGGGCTAGAATATACTTGTTATGCTTTAATGGAAAACATGGAGGACTGAGGGAAACATTGTGGTTTTTCTTACAAACAATATCTGAAACACTATTCCCTATCCCATGAGAATATTTGCATAAATAATGCAATTGTATTTGAATTAATTGAAATGGGTCTATGCAGCAAAGTGTCTGTCACCAAATATGAGCTAGATGAAATGTTAGAGTTAGGAATGAATGGAAACATAACTGATTCTAGGTTTTTGATTAACGCTATCATCCTTATGATGGTACCATTTACGTTAACATCAAAGGTTTATTTTCTCACTAGAGATTACTAGCCTTACTTTACTCCTGTTTTAGGGTAGAAAAACAAATAAGTTCAAATTATTTTTCAACTGATGTTGACATGTAGATTTTTACTACATTTCGAGAAATTAATTCAAGTCAAATAGATACCAGAATTATTCTGGCATTCAAATGTCTCAATGTATGTTCTTATTTTAATTTCTCCCTTTATTCTAAGTTATTAGAAATGAGCTATATAATACATATTACAGCACCTCACAAGTGAAATAATATGAACAGTAATCATCATCCTCTTGAAGTAACTATATATATTACAGGAAATGATGTCAACAGAATTTATGCTGAAAAGAAACCACACATTCAGAATAAAGCAATTATTAAATGATTTACTCAAATAATTTATTTTTGAGATATTATTAATAATTTAAAGAATTTGTTTTCTTTGAAGCAAACCACAAAAATCATGCAATTCTAAGTAGTGTATTTTAACAAAATAAATGGAGATGTAATATTTTTTCCTGTTTTTGAGAGTAAACGAGGTAGAATAACAAAAATGATCTTGGTATATAACACGTATGATGTCTCTCTGCTATGTGCCAAGCACACTTAGAGGTTTTACATTTTTTTTCAACTCTCTTAATAATCCTGAGCAGCAAATACATATTTAATATCAAGTTTTATCCAGTGGGAAACACTGAGTCTCAGAATGGCAAATACATTGATTTGATCAGAAACGAAAACACTGACAATTTGACATGACCCTGGGGGGGGGGGGTCTAAGAAGTTGTGGTGTCTGCACGTGAGCAGAGGACTCCTTGCCCAGCACCCACACCCACTGACATCACAGGATGATGGACAATATCCCTTTCAATGACTGGTCTTTGGCAAAAGGTAAAAAGAAATACAAGTGACTTTATGATACATATTTCACAAAAAAATATGCCTTATACTATATTATTTCTTACCTATTTTTTTCTATTAGAATATTTTTGAATACACGTAAAAATTAATGTAAGATGTCTCAATCCAAGTATGTATTCAAATTTAAATTAATCTCCATAAATTAGATGAAAAGAGAGACTATAATTTAAGACTGTTACTATAATGTAAGAGACTGCTGTTGCTCTAAATATTCACTCCATAAAACTTCCAAAAGCCACAAATGTGAGTAAGTGAAAGCAATCTGAGCATTCATCTCTAAAGTTTGAAACTAAGTATTTGACTTTTTTATATGAGCCCTAGTGTTACTCACAATATGGCAGGAACAGAGGAGAAAGTGAAGGAGAACAGAGCCAAAGGCAAACATTTATTTCTTGATTTAATACAATGAATATTCAGATATCTTAAAACATTAGCTGTTATAGTTAAATGCTTGACTACCTAAAATCTTCCTAAAACTTTACTATGATGAATAGTTTAAAAATTATCTTTGTCCATTTGTTATTCATTGACTTGAAAATCTTCAAACTTGCCTAATTAAAGTTAGTAAAATATAATTCAGTTTATCTTGACAGCTTAAAAATAGGTCTTTTTATGATTATTTCAAGTTTTACTAAGCAACAAAAATGGATAAAATAACACTTTGCAATCCTTTTCTTCTGCAAGATGTTTTGTTTGCTTTGGTCTGGGGAAAAGTTCTCATTACTTTGTGTCATGCTGCCCTGAAACTTGCTTAACAGCCAGCCTACCTTGACTGCCCTTGAACTCATGATCCTTATGTCTCAGGCTTCCAAGAACTGGGCTTGCAGCAGTCCAATACACTGGCTTAAGGACTTTAAATCTTTTAAATCTCTTGACCCAAAATATCTTACAATTTCTCTAAACTTCTATAAGCTTCCCTTTTCTGCTTAGATTAAAATTTTTGTATCTTAAAATTAGACACTAAACTCTCTGAATGATTACTAAAGGTTTTTCCCATGGGAGTTCATGTTTGTTACTCTTAACTTATCCATGTTTTATATGATGACAGTAGATATTCTAATCTTTTCCAGCTTCTTCTAGTCTACAAAGCAGTCTGTTTTTATATTCCAAGTGCTTGAAATCTCCAAACCCAAATACCAATCATTTCTTCAATAGTTAATTACCAACATATGCCATCTGCTAATTAAAATGATAGTTTTTCCACGTCCTCGTGCCTGTCACTTTTAAGCACTATCTAATCCTGATGTGTGTGTTTATGTATGTGTGTATAATGTATATAACCTAAATATTAAAAATTTCTTCCACACCTGCCAATTTATTTATTTTAGAGCCACTGGTAGTTGTCTCAGAAAAGTCATCATTTTGCTTTCTTATGATAGATAGTATCCCATTTAGTCTCTTTGTCATGAAGGTCTCGCTCTTCCAATTCTCCTGCTGCCCTGTCATTAACTATTTCATCACAAACACGATTTTGTTCATATTACTATGAAATGCAAAACCTCAATGAGATTGCTCATCAGAACACTGTTTTAAGAAAATCTGCAAACAGCGTGATGAGTTTGTTCAGTCACGGAACAGTCAGGGTACAATCTGATAAAGGCTTTTAAATGGTGATGTCATTTTCCTATAAATATAGATGAAAATATCAATATTGAAAAGGAACAGCTTGCTAGCGAGTTAGTGTGAACACCTACAACTGCTATTGTTAAGTGGAGCATGTTGCTGTGCAGGATAAACTCCATTTCATCCAAACAGATTTTATTTTCCCACCTCCCCAGTTACTACATGAGATGACATCTCAGAGTTTGCCTCACAACAGTAGCAGTTTTAGTATCCATATGCATCTTATAACAGCATATTCTACATGGCAAAATGGAAATAAGAGCTTCCTGAACAAACACACAAACTTCCATGTTGTCAGTATCCAGGAGACAATCTTCTACATAACACAAATTCAGTAAAGTATTTTATACCTAACAAACACATGGTGACAGTAAGATCATTGGGCAGTGATTCAGGGAAGAAACAGAGGAAGCATGGGAGAAAACAAATCCCTGCAGGCCTACAGCGTCACAAGAGCAGTGACTTTCCCTTAATACACTACCATTGTTGGGTTTTTTTGCTTGATATATTTTACTTCAATCCTTAGTCTTCCCCAATATTAGTGAAATATTAGCATATCAAAAGTTCCATATAAATGTGAAATATTAAAGCAATCTATATTCAGAATTCATTTAAAAAAGTGTTTTTTTTTCATGGTGTAAATGAATCACTCCAGAAATGGTGTTCGGAACAACATGGTAACATCCATGTTCTACAGGTTTTACCGACTAGTTCCCCACAGTGCTCTTTATCAATCAGTTATTCCTCTCATTTAACTCCCCCTGTTTAGGGTCCTTAGGTTCTTCTAGCACTCCAGCACACCCTACATGTTAAAACTCAGTTCAAATATTATTACACACACATACATACATACATACATACATACATATATATATATATGCTATGTCTGTGCATGTGTTTTCATGTACATGGGTTCACATTACTGTAAGAGTGCATGTACATACGCGCACGTGCGTGTGTGCGTGTGTGCATGTGTGTGTGTGTGTGTGTGTGTGTGTGTGTAAGCCTGAGGCTGATAGCAGGTTTCTTCCTCAATCTTTCCCTACCCTTTGTATTAAGGCAGAAACTTTCATTTGAAACAGAGCTGTCATTACACACACCCTGTATTTATGTAGGTATTGGGGACCCACTCTGTTGCCCATACTTATACACCAGCACTTTTATCACTGAGCATCTCCCCTACCTCAGATGTTACAACTTTCAACTTCTGTTGAGACTTTGGCTTTTCTATGGCCTGGATGCCCTTTTCATTTTGCCTGGCTATGGG